ACATTCTTGGCAACACCGGATATGGTTCTTCACATCCTGCCTTAATTTTGGCCAATAAAATTCTTTTGTGATTCTATATAATGTTTTAGTAATTCCTAGGTGACCTCCTAATGAAGTATTATGAGCTATATTCAATATTTGAGGTCTAAACTTTGTTGGAACCACTAACCTGTCTGACAGTTGCCGACCCTCTATCTCCTTACCAGTCTCAGTGCAGATCAAATAGTCGTTTTTAAGTTTATACTTGACCGGATGATCTGAAAAGGATTTACCCATGGCTGCCTGAAAAGCGAAATTCAAAGAAGGGCCCTTTTGTTGTTCCTCCCGGGAGGACAGTCCCTCGGGCATGGAAACAGAGATATCTGGCAATCCTGCAACCCTGGAATAGGAAGGCTTGATCTAGGTCTGTTCACTTAATTTACGAGGCCCTGGCCAGCTTTCCTCGTAAAACAAATTGGCTATTCCGAGATCAGAGTCGTCCAAGGATAGGTCAGCATTCTCGCCAGACAACCCTTGGGATGTTGCCTGAGTTATGGCCAACACCAGAGAAGAATTAATCATTCTGGGTTCAGGACATACACTAGCAGTGGTAATGTTATTACTCAATAATAACATGGCATCTTCCATGGGGAATCCCTCAGATATACCCACAGTCAAGTATCCAGTGTAATATTTGCACTGTACATAAATTCTGTGCAAGGGGACAGAAAATGTTGCTCCTCCGAATGCTTCCAGCAAAACAGAGGATTGGAAGGAGGTGTTCTCAGAAAGGGAAAGTACTCCCTCTCTTATAAGTGAGCAATATGCTCCAGTATCTCTAAAGGTTCTGACTTCAGTTGTTTTTTAGTCTTCCTGAAAGGAAATACGACTCTGACAGTAATAAAGGACCATCCCTTTCTCTACTTCTTTCAGGGACATGTTACTAGGGACACAATAGATTTACCCCATGGGTTGAGGTTTTTGGGGGCAGTTGGGATGGATGTGACCTACTTTATTACAGAGGAAGCAGACGACAGGCTTGCCCTTAACTCCCTGCTAATGTTGCAACTGGTGTCGCTCTGGCTGGTGTCTCTTTGGATACTGTTGTCGAGTTGCACCATGTTGAGTGGTTTGTCTCTCATCAGGTGGACCATAAGTTGAGTAGCGTGGCTCACCAGATGACTTAGTTGGCTGATGTAGACATTCTCCCTCCAGCTGGCACTTCATCCTCCAAGGTTGACGATCTCTGCTCATGCCAGACTGTTGAAAAGAGAGATGGGACTGCTCGGACAAGGAGCGGTTAGTTTCAAAGGTATCAGCCAACCTGGCTGCCTCCAATGAGTGGTTAGTTTCAAAGGTATCAGCCAACCTGGCTGCCTCCAATGCAGTGGTTAAGTCACGATCCTGCAGAAAGACTAACCTCTGGTCCCACAGACTCCAGCAGGTTGTCAACCAGAATAAGCTGCACGAGATCATTGAAGGTAGCAACACCACTTGCTTTATACCAGCTGGTAAAAGCTTTGGTCTGCTGTCGCACAAAATCAACCAGGGATTGACCAAGCAGTCGTCTGCCTAATTTAACCCTTTCAGGGTCCATCCCGTAGATCTACGGTTTCATGTTCAGTGTCCAAACCGTAGATCTACGCCAAAATTCTAGTGGCGTCAAATTTAGCGAGAAAACGCTCATAGGCCTACATGTGAGAGAATGGGTCTGCGTGGTGGGTGTGCACCATAAACAAAAATTCTAGGCGTCCGCATAGCATTGTGGGAACGCCAGCTCAGTTACCCTTGTTCACCATGCCTCGTCGCAAGGCAGCTCTCACTCCAAGGAAAATTAGGACTGTCCTCTTCCTATCTGATAGTTCTGACACTGATGGAAGTGGAAATGAAGATGAATTCTTTGGCTTTGATCAGCTAGTGACCGAAAGGAATGACCAGGCAGGATATTCGATAATAGCGCAGAAAACCCTGACGATCCTCAACTTTCTACCTTTGGTGTGGGCACTCCTCAGTCACGGTCAGTTGTACCTCATCGCAAGAGAAAACTATTATTTTCGTGTGGCCAGGCTTCTGACTTCAGTAATGATGATAATAGTGACGTGGATTGTGATTTTATTGCTCTTGACGATCATTCAAGTAGTGATAGTGAGGAAACATATTCACCAGTGAAGCGTCGGTATGTATGCCGCCGCATGCACTCGGGTAGTGTACCCTATGCAGTGCCCAGGGGACGGAGTACATCCCGGAGTACATCCCGTGGCCCTACACCAGGAATAGACAGTGAAAGTGAGGATGATGTGGCTACACTTGGCATGGATAGACCACAGGCATCAGTAGATGATGGTAGTGCCACGGCCATGCGTGACTCGCCAGCCCAGGCTGGGACCCACGCTGCTGGCTCCACAGTTCAAGGACAAAGCGGAGCGTCAGCCACTAGCCCACCACAACCACAACTACCCGCACAACCAGCCTATGATGTCCAGTATCCACCAGCAAACCGTATCTGGGATTGGCAGCAAAATCCCAATTTTGTTCCCAAGCCCCACCACTTTGATGACTCTCAAAGTGGAATTCTACCTACTTGTTCCCTTGGAAACACGGCCAATGAATTGGAATTTTTTGAAATACTCTTTGACCAGCCCTTGATGGAAATTATTGTCAGGGAAAGTAAGTATTTTGAGTACACCATGGCAAATACGATGATATCACCACGGTCAAGACTACACTGGTGGAAAGAGACGACTGTTACAGAAATGTATTTGCTTTTTGCAACAATAATGCTTATGCCTCATGTCTATAAGCATAATGTAAAAGCATACTGGTCCAAAGATTGGCTAATTTCTACCACGGTCTTCAGTGAAATCATCCCAGTGAACAGGTTTATCTTACTGTTATGTATGTTGCACTTCTCTGACAAAACCAGGCCTGACAGAAGTGACAGGTTATACAATATTAGAAATGTTTTTATGTATCTCAAACAAAAGTTCAGCATGTACTTTTATCCATTCAAGAATCTTGTAATTGACGAGTCTTTGATTTTGTTCAAAGGTAGGCTGTCATTCAAGCAGTATATACCGAGCAAGAGGAAACGCTTTGGTATAAAACTGTTTGTACTCTGTGACTGTGACAGTGGCCTGGTATTGGATATTGTTGTATACACGGGAAGTAAAACATTGAAAGATACCAAGATGTTATTGGGTATCTCAGGTGACGTAGTGAGAAGCATGATGGCACCTTATTTTGGTAAGGGGCATACATTATATACTGATAACTGGTACACAGGCCCTTTACTCAGTGATTTCTTGTGAGTGAACAAGACAGATGTGTGTGGCACAGTGCGTTCTAATCGTAAACATATGCCCAGGCTCAACGCAGGTGCTCGTGGTGATGATGTGCAGGTGTTTACTACCATTGACATCATGGCATTACGGTGGCATGACAAACGAGATGTCACATTGTTGACAACCATTCACCCTAACGAAATGCAAGACAGTGGCAAAGTTGATAGAGTGACTAATGAGCGTATTCGAAAACCAGTGACAGTGATTGATTATACACAAAACATGAGCTTGGTTGACAAATGTGACATGCAGATTGGCTTTGTTGATTGTGTTCGTAAAAGTTACATGTGGTACATGAAACTTTTCTTCCATCTCATGGACATTTCAATGCTCAATGCATATAATATGTACCAAATGAAGACTGTCAACAGACCACCGTATGGTGAATTTTGTTCGTCTGTTGTCAGACAACTCATAATGAAGTACCAGGGTAACAACACCTGCTATACAACAAGGTCCTCGAATTCCTGAGAATATACCCAAGCGTTTGTGGACGGAAGGTGATCATTTCATAATACAGCTTCCTTCAACTCAGAAGAAATTTGCTCAGAAGAGATGTGTTGTCTGTGCACAAACAAAACAACGGCAACAAAGACGCAGAGACACTCAGTTTATGTGTGAGGAATGTAAGGTACCTCTGTGCATGGTGCCTTGTTTCAAGGAGTTCCACAAGCTCCAGCAGTTCTAAAACCATGTCCAGTGATTGTAAATATGTAAATATATGATAGAACATTAGTATTATACAAGATTTGTGCATGTTTATTGTAATAAACAACAGTGGTAAACAATAATATGATAATAACTTTAGTGTGGTTATTGTGTTCAATACAGTGAGTTTATATATATACATTATATACAGTATTGGTCTCTCAGGCCCCAAATGTTAGTAGGAAAAGAACAAAATTAGAAAAGAAAAGAAAAAAAACTACAAAAAAATGCTAAATAAAGTAATGCACGTATGTGGAAATCGTCGATGTTGCCACCACCAGGTCATTTTGGGTAAACTTCTCGGCACTGTATCTCGGTAAGTACTGATCAGAATTTTTTTTTTTGTCTTATTACCTTCACAAAAATATACTCTTTAATTCTGTAAGTTGTTTTTTTTTTTTTTTTTTTTTTTTTTTTTTTTTTTTTTTTTCAAATTTCTTGGACACTGGAGCACCACTTCAGATTTTGGCCTTGGCCCCTGAAGGGGTTAATGTCTCCCACAATCCTGTTCTGTTTAGGTTGACCTTGCTGCCTTCTCCTTTATTTAAAAGCATTAACCTTGCGTGCCACTTAGATTTTATAGTCTTTACAAGTGAAATGTTGTCTGAAAGTCTACTCCTTGGTGTTGTCATATTTTATGATACTGTTTAATGTCCAGTTCAGAATGAAAGTTGCAAATTGACTCATAAGTTAATATACTATTGGGAAAAATCTGATAATATTTCATCTAGTGAGGTAAGAACTGATTTAGAGATTTAAAGTAGGTTATGGCTATGGTGAAGAGAAAGTATGAATAAAGTGTGAGAGGTTTTTATCTTAATAATAGAAATCTACAAAAATATGCCAGAAGCATCTTGTGAATAGTTACTGAATAAATCAGAACCCCTGTAGGATAGAAGATTAATTGTCTTCAGTAGTCAGATTCTTTTAATAAATAAAGGAGCACTGATTTTAGTGATATTATTTTTCCAGGCATTTTTAAAGAGAAGAACGTACAGTAGTGTGTTCGTGCGAAACAACGTGGCAGCTTCCACCCAGCCAGATGGCAGTGAAATGAAGATGGACCATATACTAAGTGAATCTAAAAAAAATAACTAAAATTATATGTTTAGACAGTGTAAAAATTATTTTTTTTATTAAATTCAAACAGAGTTTATTTACAGTGCTCACCATTAAAGTATGCTCCCTCCCCCTCAAAAACCATGACCACAAAATAGGTCATTCCTTGTGCTTTAGGGCATCCTTTAACCATCTAAGAAGTGATTAACACACATTCTTCAGAGTTTTCCAGGCATGAAGCCACTAAACAGTTTTTGCAGTGTAGAATGAAGCACTGTCTTAAATAAAATCCTTGCACCACACTGCATGAAAGATTTGGGCAAAGCAGTTCTAGATATGTTATTACGGTTAATATTAGCAGGGACATTTTTTGAGGCTTCCCTGGATGTGCTTTTGGTGTGGGCATGTCATCAACACTGTCCTCAAGTGCAACCAGGTTCTCACTGGATGCTCACACACACATCAGTGGCATCTACCATTTGCTTCATTTGATGGCCTGCTTTATGTAATCTGATGATCTTTGCAATTGTCTTTTGTGTCAGCAGCTTACTCTTGCCCATATTAATTCATCAATAGCAAGATGTCTGACCACACAGTGCAGGGGTACCATGGACACAAAACTGTCCCCCACACGATATTAGAAAGCACTGAAGATGCAGTCAGGAGTCTTAGGGACTCCTGAAATGGCCTGCTTTGAGTTGCAAGGCCAGCATAACTCTCTTTCATTGACAGATCTACAAGGGTAGAGTATTACTTCGAACATTGAAGTATTGTGGGTGCCTTCTATCTGGTGTACTTAAGTGATGAGCACTGTCTATGGGAGCCAAGGTAAAAGGGAAATTCTCAGTAGGGTACATACAGTTTTTCATACAAAAAAAAATTTGGAAAGAAGGTAATGTACCAAAGATTGAAAGGATTGCTTTAATTTCACTTTATAGGAAATGTAGTGAAAGCATTAATTTACTAACTATAGAAGCACAGAAGTCTTAAATATTAGTTTCATAACTATAGATATATTAGCATGTTTATTTCAGATGTTAAAGCATTTAACAGGATGATGCCAGAGAGAAATAAAAAAAGTCCAAAATAATGTAGTGAAATAGAAGCAAGAACAATGGAAGGGAATAATTGTAAATTTCTTGAGTATCATGATAGGTGCAATGTTGAAAATAAAAATAAAACAATATTGGTTTGAAAAAAAAAGGATTATTACTGCTGCATAAGTTAATAAGGCTGGAAAGGAGATTGTGTTAGCATAGCACTTAAATTATAATTGCTTCAGCAAAGTTAAGTTAGTGTTAGAAATTGTTGCCAGGTTATGAGATTTATTTCAAAGTCCACTAAAACAGATGTGCCTTGTGTTGGCATTGTTGTTTGACTGGACACATGATGGGGTACTGTGAATGCTTTTGATCAGAGTATAAATGCAAAGCAAGATATAAGTAAAGAATATTACAATAAGTAGATGTACTGTATAGATGTGACAGTAGCTTTGGTCAAAAAATTACTTGAAATCACTTAGAGTATGTGCTTGGAAGAATATTGTCCATATGAACTAAGTGGTGTGATTATTAAATGATTCTTCTACTAGCCTTTTATACAGAGTGTGGAAAAAAATTATCTGTGTTAATGAAAAGTTGAAATATGAAGTGCAGTTAAACGTAAAATAAAGATATTCCACTCTAAATATTTGTGATAATTGTTCACCAAAGTTTGTTAAATTGAATATAGGTCATTAGAGAGAATATTACAGAATTATGAGTTTTGCATGCATACATGCTTACTGTATTGCATATAATAAACTAACAGCTTACAAGAACTAACTAGGAAAAATTGGAGTACTGATATATGGAGATTAGTAAGTGTGAAATGTAAGAGTGTGTGTTGATGAGACTGAATTTTAAGTTATTTATGTGGAGTTAGGAGGCTAAATAAAGTGGGAAATAAGGAGAGAATAATACTTACCCAGGGTATGGGTAGTATTCTATATGTCAGGGTAATATTCTCATTGTTGAACAAACTCGGCTAATTTAACCCGTAAACGGTCCAAACGTATACTTTCTTACCGCTAGCGCCCCAAACGTACATATGTTTTATTTTTCCTGCCTCCGAATTTGGCACGATTGGCCTGAGATGCCTGGTCAGCATAGAATGGGTCTTAACACTTGGTGTGCACTATATTAAAAAAATCTGGGACCACTTAGGACCTTGTGGGAGTGCCAGTTATATTGAGTGCCAGCTAGAGCAAACAATGTGGGAACATCAAGGATTCACTGATGTAATGTCATATTAACACTCCCATTTTAAGAGGAAAGTGATGTTAACCCCAAGTTTAGGGTCTGTCTGTCTATCTCTGTCTCTGTCTAACTGTCTCTATCTCTTTTTATCTGTCTCACAGGTACACACAAATACAATTATACATAGTGTAAATTACCTAGGATAACCTAAAAAAAATCCGAAGTGCTATACTGTGCTTGTAGATATAATGCATAAGAATACCTGTTGGTTTACAGTGGCTCTCTCTGAGACAGAGAGAGAGAGAGACAAGCAGAGAGACAGAAAGAGACAAGCAGACAGAGAGATAATCAGAGATACGAGCTCATCAAATGTCACCCCTTATCTCTGCACCCTCGCTGGCGCCCATCAAATGTCATAGCTTATCTCATCTTATCTCTGCACCCTTGCTGGTGCCCATCAAATGTCATCTCATATCTCATCTTATCACTGCCCTCCCGGATGCTTCTCACTGACACTTGTCTTACACATTGCTTAAAGAGAACTTCTGCCTCCTTCTTCCTCCTCCTTCTTCCTTCTTCTTCCTTCTTCTTCCTTCTTCTTCCTCCTTCTACCTTCTTCCTTCTTCTTCTATACTCTCGTGTATTCAAAACATTGCTGGGACTTATAAATACTTTGTATATATTCCTAGACAATAGTAAATGACCAAGGCAGGTGTAAATGTCCACCTGTCAATGTGTTTGTGACAATTTGAGTACAATTTCAGTACCTAATATTAGTGTCAGAATAAAGATTGGTTATGAAATGACAAGAACTACAATAAATTGTAATTATCAGAACATAAAAATTATATAAAATAATATAAAAATGAGAAAAAATGGTATATCGGCAACACTTCTGCAAGCGGCAGGACTCGATGTTGCCGTCAGGTGAGCATTAAGTGCCAACTTTGCAGCCTCATATCTCAGTAAGTACTGATCCTAATTTTTTTATTTTAATCCTATAACACTTAGAAAAATGTACTCTTTATTTTCATTAAAAAAATTATTTTTTTTACTTTTCAAAATATTCGGGGCACTGGGGTAGTGAATGTATATACAGTGGAACTTCAAATATCGAACTGCTCCCAACTCGACCAATTATGTAAGTGTATTTTTGTAAGTGTTTTATAAGTGTATTTTTGAGGGTCTGAAATGAACTAATCTAATTTACATTATTCTTGTTGGGAATAAATTCATTCGGTAACGGCACTCGAACAGCCATCTGGAACGAAGAAAGTTCGATATTTGAGGTTCCACTGTATATGTTTGGACTGTTTACAGGTTAATATAGTACCTTAAAAATATAATATAAAATCTTTCCTAGAACTGGCTATAGATGTCTTTCCTTGTTTTTCATTCATGTTGTCATGTAGTTAATATTTCTTTTTGTATACAGTACTTTAGTTAAATTGATGCATGAGGCAGATGATAATGATTACAAATAAGACAGCTTTTTCATGAAGCACCTTTTATTAATGTTTTATTAAACACTGGCTTTTTTTGTGGGACTTGTAAGAGTTATTTCCCCAGAGGAGGAGACAAAATAAAACTGTACTACATATATGCAGTAAGTGCATTAATTTTTTTCATATTTCTAGGATAAGAATCGTAGAGACAAGAGGAAAGCCAATATAAGCAAGGTGAAGCGAGGGAAAGCAAACTGATGGCCAGTGAGTAGCAAGAACATATTCTCTCTCTGGCTGACTGTCACAAAAGCAACTTTCAACTGTGATTTGAGTCATATAGTTTATAGCCTGTGTAGGATGCTTGACTTCTAGCATAGCATTCGTATTATGCTGAAGCATTGTCCATCATTTATTGTTTGATGATAATTTTTTATTTAACTTCTTAATATGTTTATATTACAGAATATTTATGTATTACATTTCTGTATCAGAATTTAATGTTCAGATGTAATTCCTTCTTTATAATCGATTATGCAGGTAGCTACCAAATACACTTGGAGTTCCAGAAATATATACACTACACACACACACACACACACACACACACACACACACACACACACACACACACACACACACACACACACACACACACACACACACACACACACACATAGTAGCAATCAGTGAAGAGGCGGGGCCAGGAGCTATGACTCGACCCCTGCAACCACAAATAGGTGAGTACACACACACACACACACACACACAGTGGTACCTTGACTTACGAGTGCCCCAACTTATGAGTTTTCTGAGTTACGAGCCATCGCTCGGTCAGTTTTTTCCTTTGAGTTGTGAGCCAAAATCCAAGTTACAAGCGAGCTTCAGATGTGGCGCCACTCACAGGAGATACCGAGGAAATGCCAAAAACCTCGATAATAACCAATGTGTAACATCCTTTCAATTTTGATACCACTGGTAATGTCATCCTGCCAGAATGTTATATAACGTATACCCTAAGTAAAGAGAAACAATTCTGGAACATGGGTAATACATGTTTGGCAGGCCGGAGGGTTGGGTGGCTGCTGACTGGCTGGCCGGCTGTTGGCTGGCCAGCTGGCTGGCTGATTTGCTTTGGCTGTCTCTGTCTTCTTCTGCCTGTCTGTATCTATCTCTCTATCTGTGTCTATCTGTGTCTCTATCTCACAGGTACACATAAATACAGTTATACATAGTGTAAATTACCTAGGAAAAAAATCCAGACAAAGTGCTATACTATGCTTGTAGATATAAGGCATAATAATCAAGTAATACACATTTTCACTTGTTCAGGAATCAGATGTGACGACTCTGCATAATGTGTAATACCTGTTGATTCATGAACAGCTCTCTCTCTGAGACAGAGAGACAAGTAGAGAGACAGGAAGACAGAAACACACAAAGACAGATAAGCAGAGACAGAGATAAATATACAGAGCTAGCTAAACAGACAAATAGACAGATAAAAACAAACAGATAGACAGAAACAGATAGACATGTTTATGTGTAACAGTGAAAAATAAAGCCAAGGTAGTGCACGATCATCAAATGTCACTTCACTGCTGCACTGTCAGCAGTGGAGTGACACTCATCTTACACCATGCTTCAAGAAGTTTCATATATGCTCCAGCATTTCTAAAACATTGCTGGGACCTGGCAAAAAAGGCAAAAATCATTTCTTATTTGTAAATACAGTTTTCTTATTTTAAAACTTGTAACAAAAGAAATAGGGTGTTTTTTTTTGAGGGCTGGAACGGATCACTGGCATTACAATTAATTTCAACGAGGAAAATTTATTTGATATACAAGCAAATTGAGTTGCAAGCTCAGTCACGGAATATATATATACAGTGGAACCTCTACTTGTGAGTTTAATCCATTCCATGACCTTGCTCGCAACTGGATTTGCTCGTTTGCAGAGTCAATTTTCCTCATTTAAATTAATTGAAATGCAATTAATCCGTTCCATTGGAATTCTGTACTTCAATAATTTCGCTAATATCAACTTTACGGCTTATTTATCTATCTTACTTCATCTAATATGACATAATAAACATTATAAATAACATAGAAATCTGATATATACTCTAAAATTAATAAAATATGTCATTCATGTAGTGGTATGGGCAGTGTCGGCGGTGGACGAGAGTTTGTCTGGAGACCAGGCAAAATACTTCATGAATAATTTAGCTAATATCTATACAGCTTATTTATCTATCACAGTTCATCTAATATAACATAACAATATAAATAACATAGAAACCTGATCTATACTCTAAAATGAATAAAATGTCATTATGTAACAGGTGGAGGCAGTCACAACTGCTCCCTCTTTGTTGTGGTAAACACTGCCATCTCGTGATGGCCTTTTGAAGCTGTCTATTATAATTATTATATGTAGTACATTATTATTATTATTATATATGTATTATTATTATAAATATTATATTATTATTATATTATTATTGTATTATATTATACTACTTATTATTATATGTATTATTATTATACATATTATTATTATTCTTTCTTCAACACACCAGCCGTATCCCACCGAGGTAGGGTGGCCCAAAAGGAAAAACGAAAGATTCTCCTTTTACATTTAGTAATGTATACAGGAGAAGAGGTTACTAGCCCCTTGCTCCCAGCATTTTAGCCGCCTCTTACAACACGCATGGCTTACGGAGGAAGAATTCTGTTCCACTTCCCCATGGAGATAAGAGGAAATAAACAAGAATAAGAACTAGAAAGAAAATAGAAGAAAACCCAGAGGGGTGTGTATATATGTGCTTGTACATGTATGTGTAGTGTGACCTAAGTGAAAGTAGACGTAGCAAGACATACCTGAAATCTTGCATGTTCATGAGACAGAAAAAAGGACACCAGCAATCCTATCATCATGTAAAACAATTACAGGCTTTCGCTTTACACTCACTTGGCAGGACGGTAGTACCTCCCTGGGTGGTTACTGTCTATCAACCTACTTCCTATGATTATTATTATTATTATTATTATTATTATTATTATTATTATTATTATTATATAAATTTGTAATTTTTATTCACACAAAAAATATAAGATTTACTGTTATTCCTTATTGCAATAATTGTATAAATAATGTCAACCCATTCACGACTGCATATTGGAATGGACAGTGACGTCATTTGTTTACTCTGAAACAGCCAAGCAATTGACCTTTTGTCCTAGGTTGAGCTCAATTTCAAGGCACTCTTCGTCGTGAAAGAAATCAAAATCACATCCATTTCTGTAATATATCTTCCATTTTATTAATGAGACCAAAAAAACGAGAATACAACCATAAAAACCATTCGAAATTACCTCTAAGGAGTGGCTAATTGCTGACAAGTGAACTCCATTATTTATGCTTAGATTTCTTTCATCATTATTATTATTATTATTACAGTGGTCCCTCGTTTATCACCGTTAATCCGTTCCTGGAAGTGCGACGATTATCGAAATAGACGATTTTCGAATCAATTTTCCCCATAAGAAATAATGTAAATACATTTAATCCGTTCCTGACACCCAGAAGTATTAAAACAAAAAAATTTTTTACATGAAATATAGATGTAGTACATAAATAATACAATGGGACATGATGAATGAAACATTAACAGCATAACACTTACCTTTATTGGTGATTCTTCTTAGTGTATGGAAGACTGGAGGAGAGAGATTGGATTATTTACAGTTTGGAAGGGGAATCCCCTTCCATCAACACCTCAGGTCCCAAGTCCTTTTCTGGGGTTATTTTTTTCCGTTTTTTTCCCTTTTTCGGGTGGAAAGCCCCCCCTGACTTGTTTCAGGGGGCCCAAATTTCAAAAAAAAAAAAAAAATTTTTTAAAAAAGTTTTGGGAATTTTTTCCCCCGTAATAATGAGCCCAAAGTTGAAATTTGAGGAAAAACTTAGGGAAATTATGCTCTACAAAGTTAGGGGTCTCAACAATGTTTGCATCGGCGTTTTTCCCCAATTTGAGCCCTTTTTTCGGCCAATTCAGTGTATTTGTCGACAGAAATCTAATTTTTTTGCTAGAACTCCATTTTTTTCATCGAATGGTACAAGAAACCACCCATTTACCGATTAAACTATCCAATCAGTGGCCAGAATTTAGCAATTTTGCCAATTTCCCCAAAAATTTCAAAGATGCCAATTCCAAAAAAAGGGCCCAAATAAACAAAAAAAGACTTTCCCTGGACTAAATAACTTTCCTGTTATTAGGCGTCCCACCCCCTTTTAAATTTCTTTGTTTTTCCACTTTAAATTTTTTATTCTCAAAAAAATAGAGATTTACTGTTATGCAGCTACTGCCTTAGTGTAGAAAGGGTATAAGTAATATCAGCGCATTGTGAAAGAATATTGACTCACCCGTTTAGTGATTGGACGTGTAGCATGTTTGTTTACTTTTTACCTTTGGGAAAAACGAAGGTTTTGCTACTTTTGGGTCAATTTCAAGGTATTTTATTGAAAACCAATCAAAATCGTCTCAATTTCTGTAATATGTATCCCTTCTTAAAATAAACCCGGAAAAAATAAAAACCCCTTATAAATACCAAAGAAAATACAGTGCAAGTCGCTGTTTTAAACCAAAAAAACTGTCAAAGTTTTTTTTTTCATTCCCCCTGTGTGCTAGGATTTTTTTTTTTATGCGCACACCGGACCACATAGACCCCATTCTTTTTAGTAGGCCCACCAATTTTCTTTAGATTTTAGGGGGCTAAAATTTGGATACTAGTCTCAAAAAACCCCGGTGGTAAGCGTATAGTACGTCAGAAACCTGAAAGGTTAAATCTCTCAAACCAAACTTTGCTGGCCTTAAATTCACAATTATCAGTACTCATTGCAGGCAGTTTCTTTACCAAATCGTCATGCAACTGCCTAGCTTTTTCACAAATAATCGACGTCATAAGAGTATCTCCTGTTGATTGTTTCTCATTTATCCACACCAATAATAACTCTCAACATCTTCGAGTACTGGTGATCTCATTTTTGTCAGCATATTTACTCCCTTTGCAACAACAGCTTCCTTGATTTCCTTTTTCTTGGCCACGATGGAAGATATGGTTGTATGGGATTTGTTATACATCCTGGCCAGTTCGGCCACACGTACGCCACTTTCATATTGTTCAATGATGTTTTTCTTAAATTCAGTCGTATTTCTCACCTTCTTTACCAAAGGCTTGGCACTAGGAGCTTTCTTTGGAGCCATGGTAGCTTATTTAGCACTTGCAAGCACTAAAATGAATGGAATATTATGAAATATTTTGTATGAACAAGTGAGGGGACTCTCACTCACTGGTAAACAATGCCACACTGGCTGGGAAGGGAGGCCAAGGCGGCTCAGAGCCATGAGTACGCGTCCAAGACGAACGACGATTAGCGAGTCAACCGACCATTTGCAAGCCAATGTTTGGACAAAAATAACGCGACAATTTCCGAAAAGGATGACTATCGAGCCGTACGATTATTGAAGGACCACTGTATATATATATATATATATTATATATATATATATATATATTAGTAGTAGTAGGTTGGTGACAGCAACCACCCGTCCTGCCAAGTGAGCGTTAATACGGAAACCTGTAAATTTTTTACATGATGGTAGGATTGCT